GGTGACTTGGATCCATACTCATCTGGACACCCACACCCAAGCTGAGCAACAAGTAAACAACATATGCAAAATAACCAATGTATCACTTTTTTCCATTCTTTGGGGTAAAGTTTGTCTTTGGCTTCCATACAGGCTAAGGTCAATAGACATTTTAAGGATGTTCCTCTATCAACTGCACGTAGAGATTGGCCAGCTATTCTTATGACAACTAGCTAGTCTCTGTCCTGTTTTGTTCTTATTGCTGTTACCTAGTCCACCTTTTTTGTAACTTTCTTCCTATCACTATATAATCTTTTTTCCTATCAAAAACAAATGTGAAGTAATTAGAAACAATCTTATATTTTCCTGGTTTCTTACACATATTAATAAAGCCAATAAGTCTCTCAACAGCGATCATTTTTTTTTTTTTGAGATAGAAAAGTGATAACTTAGCAGGCAACAACAGGGTGCAACTGCAAACTATGTAAAAAGAATCTCTGGAAGGCTAGGACAAAGACAACCAACCTAAAACCTAAAGGACCCAACTCAAATCAACAATGTGAAATCTGAAAAACCTAAAAGTAAAGTGCTCTTAACTTCCGAACCTGATTCATTTCTAAGTTTTTAACGTCAAAAACCTGTTCCCAGAATATTTCTCCCAACATAAGCGATTGAGGTTACAAATTTAGGCCTAATTCCTTTAACTACCTTATATGTTATTTGGAAAACAGAAATATAAGAGCTTTGGAGGAAATAAAATTTTCTTTTGATAGCCTTAAGTTGTTGGTCCTAGACACTAGATTTTTTGATAAAGGGTCATCCTCTGTACACTTGTGAGTATTTAGGGAATCCGATGATATTTTGACAGATTTGTAAAGTTTTTGCATGCGGATTGCACCTTCTTGGCACTATTTAATATCACACTTCTTCTTTCAAAAAAAAAAGGTCTGCATTGTTATTACAGAAGAATAAGCTAATTTTCTATCAAAAGGTAAGTGCAACGTAATTGCAAAAACACACTAAAGAAGAAAAAATTTGTAATAGATAATAAACAAGTTAAAATCTTTATTCAAGCTAATGTATAGATTCTTAGAACTTGAAATTGGTAAATTCTGCCAATGCATATACCTGCAAAGGACTAAAAGTAGGTGGATGAAGCCTTTTGTTTTGTCCAATTTGAGTGGCAGAAGTTAAAGGTAAAAACCTTCCAATAAGTGAGCCAGATCCAAGGACAATGTTTGCTGTAAAATCCATTACGAAAAATCAGCCAAATCAATTTGCAATTCCATCTACAACCACAAAAACTCGAAACACTCACTTTTTTGATAAAGCAAGTTAATTGATCAAACAATATATAACATTTAACAAAAAATGTTTTACAGTGTCTTATTTATTGAAAGCAAGTTCATTGATAATAAATAAATGTACAATGCCCAAACATAGTTCAGGCCTTGGGTGCCACCAATTAAAGACATTTTAGACAAGCAAAGCATAAGAAACCAAAAGATAACAAGGGTTTCTTGGGAAACACCTTCGATCTGTTTTGCTAAGGAGTTAGGAGTTTATTCTGTGTTGAGGTCTCAGTGTTGTCTGTTGTGGTTTTCTTTCTCTGTACTTTTTATACAAGTATGCCTTATCCTCTCACTTTTTTGCAACTTCTTCTATGCTTCTTAATAATATTTCTTCTTTATCACTTAAAACAAAAAGAAAAAAGAACAATATGGTCATGAGAACAAGAAGAAGATTGCTTCAAATGGACTTAATCACTTCTTGATGACAGAAGGGATGAATCAAGATTGGTAAGTGTGTTGGGCTGCAAAACAGTGGCATTAACTATTAAGTATCTAGGGCTGCTCTTAGGGTCAAATGACAAAGATGAGAGAACATGGGACCTAGTGATTGAATTGTTTGAAAGAAGATTAACAGGGTGAAAGAGAAACCTCTCATCTAAAGGGACAATTATAAAGAGTACGCTGGTTATCTTCTTATCTATTATTTGTCTGTCATGACAATCCTAGTGAAAGGGGCATAGAAATTGAAATCTATTCAGTGCAGGTTTCTTTGGGGAGCTGCAGAAGATAGGAGAAAGTATCATTTGATGAGGCCGGGGGAAACTAAGAAGCCTATGTCTTGGGGGGGAGTTAGGGCTGAGATCTTTTGTTAAGATGAATCTAGCCCTACAAGGGCAATGGCTATGGAGATACACGAAGGAGAATGGTAGGTTGTGGAGGACAGTGATTGATGCTAAATTTAGGACTATGGATAGAGGTTGGTTCACAAGAGTGTATGCTAGATCTCATGGGGGTGGATGGAGGAAAATATGCTTGGGAGAAAAAAATTTC